GTAATGTACATTACAGTATAGACAAGATGCATCGATTCATTTACGGTGTACCTAATTTTCAGAGGTCACTTTCAGTAATTTTGTTTTGCCTAAATTGACAGTGGATGCTATCACAGAAGAGGGAAATTCCCACAGAATTTAAAACCGTGAAATGTATAAGTGTGCGTGATTTATTTTGCATCTTATCAGACTTCGAAGTGAGCGTTGAAGAGGACGGACATAATGTATGTCGCTGTGGCATTCGGGGGGTTACACTCCAAAAACAACAGCTCGTTCAACACAGACGTAGGCGAACATTCGACTGAAGCTCAAGAAACTTATGAAAGTAGTCCTCATCACCATGGAGTAGCCAATCACGGGGCTGGAATTCGACCTCACACATGTGTTTTGTACCAATTATCTCAAATGGGTTTCTAACCCACAGATGTGTTAGAAATTGAGTGTGCACATAGACCCCCAGGCCTAGTCACGGTGACGCGTGACTGTGGCAAGTGGAGGTGGCGAGTGACGGTGGTGAGTCACGGTGACGAGGGCCAGGGACGAGTGACGGTGATGGTGGCGAGCGACGGGGACGTGGGACTGTGGCGAGTGATAGGGACGAGTAACGGGGGCGAGTGACGGGGACGAGGGACTGTGGCGAGTGACGGGGACGAGTAACAGGGGCGAGTGACGGGGACGGAGGACGAGGGGCTAAGGACGGGGACGAGGGACGGGGACGAGTGACGGGGACGAGGGACGGTGTCGAGTGACGGGGACGAGTGACGGGGGCGAGTGACGGGGACGAGTGATGGTTGCGAGTGACGGGGACGCGGGACGGGGACGATGGCGAGTGACGGGGACGAGCGACGGTGGCGAGTGACGGTGATGGTGACGAGCGAATGTGTGCCAGGTGTTTTCCTCACCAACATTACCAGCACCACAATAACAGACTAACCCGAGTTTGTCTCCCCTTCTAAACATATTAATGGATTGTGAAATGTTCACGTATCGAACCTGTACACATCTTACATAGGGTTTGTGATATATTCCCAGTCGTCTGAGGATGTGCAATTCGCTCTGCAGAGTTGAAATCTATGAGTGATTCCCGGTGCGTCCTGATTACTTTTCCAGGTTTGTTAGCACCATACCCATGCTTGTGGTTTCTGACGTCGTGTCACATGCATTTTAGCCGTTACACCTTTCGTGCAATTAAGCATTCACATCTCGCTTTCGGCGACAAAAGTCGCCCGCGGCACTCAAGTACGGATCGTGCATTAGCATAACCATTAAGATCTATTAAGTTGTTTGTCCTACCTATTGACATGTCTGGACGACTAAGAGTGTTCATCAGCACTAACTGCGAGGGTACTTTTCATTTATCTGCATGGTAAAACCGTACAATGCACGAGACGTGCGCTGGTCATGTGGTTGTCAGGAGACTTCGTCAAAACGTGACACTTCACGCCCTGTGATAGTCATCAGGGATATACTGCATGGTTAATACTTGCTTGACAACTGTCAATATCGTGTCTATTGTCCCAGGTAAACAGTGATGCATATCAACAACAACAGTAGATCGATGAGACACGGCAGACCTCTTGTATGAGGTTTAGGTTTTATACAACTCATTCTATCAAGAAGCCCTTAGGCGTCTTAATAGCTGAGAATCGAATGAGGTGACTCTTTTCTTCAAATCTATGCTCTAAGATCTGTAAGGTGAGGTGAAATGGGGTTTAACGTGCGTATGCTTGTACTAGGCCAAATTAATATCGGTTTTATATGGTGATAGCTCACTGAAATACCATGCCGCAGTTTAACATGGACAAGCGGCTTAGATTCTGTGTACTGACTCCGAGCCGACCAGTCCTTGTTTTATCCCGTTATGCTTTACTCACTCACTCACTCAATGTCAACCCATCTGTCACTGACGGTTTCATTTGATTGTGTAAGTTTACTGTCTTGGGAGGAGTTGGGAGAGTAATGACTTGTGACTTTGGGACAGATGCACAATATTTACAAAGGCAGAAATCCCGCACACGCTTGAATTATATTTTACGCCGCTTGTTGCAATATATGTAACCATATTTCAGCGAGGAGCACATAGCATAGACTCACTCCTCCAGGGGACATAAGCCGATCCAGACTAGGCGATGGTACATTTTATAACATAAGCTGTCCGGAGTTATCTCCCCTAGACCATACCATGAACACATTAAGCCGTCCGGAGTTATCTCCCATATACCATTACATTGAGTGTACATAAAGACATAACACAGTGGTGATACCCTGATAATCTCAAAATATATAAGGAACTTGGGAACATTTTCCTTCCACACGTCGGCCCGCTTAAATGTATGCACGTGAACTTCTTTTCTTTTTTGCATTCTTGTAAATCACCCTCAAGGTCGGGGACTCGCCGGCGAAACTATGACATGTTTGAACCATGTTCCTATTTCCTCTCAAGATTTGTAACCTTCTTATTCTCAGCCTGATTGATCACATTATTAGCTTGTATGTTTCTGCTTATGATAACATTATGTTTTGTGTTCGTGTTAGTTTTGTATGCAGGATAAATGTGGATACCAACGCCGACAGCAAACAGCTGTATGACGGCGGTCTGTAAATAGTCGAGTCTGGACCAGATATTCCAGTGATTTGCGTCATGAGCATCGATCCACGCAATTAGAATACGATGACATGCATCGAACAAGTCAGCGAGCCTGACCACCCTATTCTGTTAGACGCCTCTTACGACAAGCATGGGTTGCTGAGGACCAGTTCTAACCGGGATCTTCACGGGTGCTTAATAAGTGGCTCCCTTGGTAAATGAATACCTGTTCTAATCGCCCATGGCTCTTATTACGAGGAGTATGATACAGATTGCAGGCAAACACTGAACTAATATACACCCCCTAAAATTTATTTATACTGTTTACTTAAAACAGATTTGTGTTATAAACATGACGTAAGATTATTATCAGGTTGTAAGGAACTTTTTATTCATCAGAAGCCTATGATTGCTTAATTTGTTTTGGGTAATCAGTACCTGACTGCCACGTGCGGTTAACGCATGCGCAGACTGTTTTCTACTAAATCATTAGCGTTAAAATCTGTTCATCTTATCGATTCGATTTCATCGGCATCAGGTGAGGAAACAATGCATAGAAACAGGTTCCCCTTGTTCCCCAAAACATATAGATCATGTTGTATGTTTTGACGTATGTATCAACACATGGTAAGTCTGGAATTTAAATTTTAGAAGTCAGCAAGCCCGTCATCGGAAAAACGTCTGCTCGTGGCCGCCATAGTTGTCAGTCGAAGATATATGTTTCCGAAAATGTTGTTATATCATGCTAGTTTAGACATGAGATGGAGGAGAAATAGTTCTTTGATAGTTTTCACATTGAATACAGTGTCGTTTATGCCTTAGTACAAAGTAATTTTGTTAGAATGGTAGTTTAGCGGCTAAGTCAGTGTTTTAGCGGAACGCAGAGTGAATCTATGTAGGCAGTAATGTCCCTTGGCTGTCTGCCACAGGGGAAGTAAACAAACTTGACGTCCCGTTCAGTGGCGTTCAGTGTGAGTTAACGGATGGTTAAGATTTGATCAATATCTCCTACTAAGTGTAGAATCTCTACAATTTATGCCTAACTATGGTACAAGCTTAAGAGGTTTGATCGGGATATCAGATATTCTCGTAGATTAGTGGGTTGTGCATTGTGAATTACAAAGCTTTCCCAAGTTTTACGCACATAAAAGTTTTAATTTTTCCAATGTTGACAAATATGTTTGTGCAGTAGTGTCTTTGTAAATACATGTATAAGGGTTACAGCATTGTTGTAGAATGATTGTGAGGTCAAGAAATAGTCTTTGCACAGGAATAACAGTTGCATTGCAATTAAGGGGAGATAATTCTGTCTTGTCTCTTAACAATCAACCGTCAGTTGAAGATGTTCTTTCAGTTTGTGTATCTTGTGTACGATAGTGTTATTAGTATTTCTGAGATCAAAATAAATATTTACAGGTCAAGTTTGATAAATTTGATATCAAGTTTGATCAAACATTTTGAGTATCTGTATGCATTTTATCATGTAAAGGGGGATAACTCAAACATGGAGTTCAGTAGGAGATACCCTATTATTGGTACAGTTGTATGGAAATATAACAACTGTAGCTAATCAATAGCTTCAGAGTATTATGTGTAATAGAAATAATGGGGTGGTGGTGGTGATCTTGGTGGCAACCTGAGCAGGGGTACCTGATGGCATCAAACCTGTTACAATTTACATGATGTTTAAACTTTTGATTGGACCTTCTTCTGTACGACAACCCAAAGTTTCAAACTCTTTTGGACATTATAGGTGACAATCAGTCAATGTCTTCAAACATGACCCGATTTGAACCCCTGCGTCTTATGTAAACGAGTAATACCTTTCCTTGTAAAATCCCTAAAGAGGCCCCAGGCTGTATGAACACTGCTTGATTTACTCCACCTGGGCCGTTTTCTTCTCAACCTAATTGTCCACTTCCTAGTTGTGTTTAATCTTACAATTCATAAGCTGGTCGTGTTGATGTGTATGTACTGCATACGGTATGGACATATCAGCCATTTACATTAAAACAAGGACAACGTGAACTAGGCGACTAACTGGATCAGGTGGTCAGGCTCACCGACTTGGTTTATTATCGTAGCCCAATCGCGTAGATCGATGCTCATGATGTCAATCACTGGATTGTCTAGACTCGATTATTCACAATTTTTATTTTAAAACTGGCCTAACAACAGACTGAAAACTAGGATTGGTTGTCCAGGCTCTGACTTGGCTGAGTGTGTCATCGTCGTGACCGTCAATGGGACTTAGATGATGTGATCCACCCCTGGTGCATGGTTCGACTGGCCAGATTGGAGTATTTACAGGTGATGTAGATGGCAGACAGTTGTCTGCAGTGTAAAACAACATTCACTCACATCCAGGTGATCACACCACCGCATATTGTAAACCCACAACACAAGACATACACATTGTTAATTTCATTTATTATACATTTATTGACGAGTATTTACACAATGGTGACCACAATAAGACAGTGTATCACATGGCAGTCATGTGACCACATAAGACAGCATATCACATGACAGTCATGTGACCATGAGGAAGACGGAGGATTACCCACAATCCCTGGACCCTGATTTCAATGATGGGTTAAGACTTCTACTATGGGGAACTGTTTTCAAATCAGAATAATATGTACAAATACACATATTTGCTGTCATTCAAACATAATGCCAAACATATTGTTGCCTAAGTACTTGAAATATTCGTCTAGCTGTAATACTTACCCCCACATAATTCCTTTTGTAAGAAGACTCTTTTTTAACTTAATTTTCAAATTTACTTTGTAAACAACATTTTGATTTTTGAATTTGAAGACAGTCCCACTCACTGACAGACAATTTCTCACAATGGCAAGAGTTGCATCCACAAGATTACCTAATTTTAAAAAAATACAAAACGGCTTATTTTGCATACTAGGTGCAGGCTAAATAGATAATACATATAACGAGATTGCTATCTTTGCAATTGCATAGTTTTTAAATATCATTGTCATGTTACAAACTAATTATGGAAAACTGGTTTGATAATTCATCAACACATTCATCAGAAACAACATGTCTCCTCTAGATTGAAAACATAATACTCTTTTTGAAATGAAAGGAAAAAATAGTATTTTTCAATATTGTTTTTTTTTTTGGAAACAGTCACCACTAAATTATTATTCTGCCAAAACGGACCATCTTTCCATGTAAACATTAAAAAAGCAAAAATACATTCGCATCAATCTAGGGAGAATACGTTATTTTTGAAGAGACAATAGACTTGAACATGTCCCTGTAAGATGAAGTTATTGATACATCAAGCAGTGGGAGGTACAGCTCACTGCACAGAATACTTAGGAAGAGTTCTCTCCCCTTCATGCGGCTGATGCTTTGAAGACTTTCTTATTTTGGTCCAGAACAGCTGCTTCAAAGTGGGTCATCTTATTATCAGCTCTCAAACCTATTTGTGGATCTATGAAACTTGGTATGTGAAATGTGTGGCAGCCCTGCCAAGTATTGCAGTACAGGATAATATCACATTTGGAAGTCCCCGTACACCAGTGTCCCACAATGTCTTGTACATCAGCCTGGTTGGAAACAAGACATGTCCAAACCCATGGCACGGCCCAGTCTAAAATAAATTGTAGTTGTTTGAGACGTGTAGGTCTTCAAAATTCCCCCAATCATATAATATTCAGGTGGATTCAACCTTCTAAATCACCCCCGCAAAAAAGAAAAAAAAAAAAGAAAAAAAAGTAATTTTACCTCCCGATTTTTCAAAACAGTACACATTCCAATTTGTATTTTCCAATAATGTGTACTTTCCAATATTTCAGAGCAGGACCCATGCCAATTTGTACTTTCCAATAATGATGTACTTTCCGATATTTCAGAACAGGATACATACCAATTTGTACCTTCTGATATTTCAGAACAGGACACATGCCAATTTGTACCTTCTGCTATCTTCAAACAAACCGGCAAAACATCTGGGGTTGTAGTTTGTATATAACAGGACTGGTTACAGCCTTCCAGAATATAATTCATAAAAAAACTAACCATGGTTGTGTTTTTAAAGAAAATGAGTTAAACTTCAACCTGAGTATATTAAACAAACATTTTTGTATTTTTACTTTACCCATACTTTGTCATTGTGCGACACTGGTACCCTACCCATAATGCAACTGTGCTGAGTATTGTCAACATTAGCCAATGACCGATGGCTCAACAAATGCTTGTCTAGATCGTGAAAATGCAAGCAGGAAAAATTGAATTTCCACATAGATTACCTCGTAAAACATGATATATATATTTGAGAATATTATTTCTTCTAAATCCTAAAAACAATATCCTGCTTTCAACTTTCATCTGCACTACACTCATTTGTGTCCATCTTAGTGTAGTGTTACACTTCGTATCACCCATGTGTTAATTAATACTTTAACACCTTACACTCGCTCATAACAAAACACTTGTTGGTGGCAACACCCATTTAACACATCCTTCACGCATGACCATGTAGAAATACACACTACACTTAGGTCGCACCATGTATACACAATTACACTTAAGTGTAACCACTTGACATAGTAAACATGTTTAACACATGTAACAGCTACGTGTCAAATACAAACCTGTTACACTCAAGTGTAATTTGCCAACATCAATACATTCGAGTTGAACCAATTACATTTAAGTGTAAAATATTCCATATTTCACTGTAGTCAAGTGTGTTTACACCTTAGTGTAACCTATCAGTTACACTAAAATGTAACCAGTTATAAACATTTATACCACATATAGCCACTCACGCAATCGATTCGTATCACACATCGGTATAACACCTACTCCAGGAAGTCTATGAACTTGCTTGGTGTAACCTTACCCCTCCTTTGTGTAACTTAGAACTAAGTGTAACATCAGCTGCCTTATCACTGAACAAATTCAAATACGTTGTATTTCTTTCCAACATAATTTCTTATCTGAAACTATTATACCAACATGCACTTTTTTAAATACTTCGCATTTGCACAAGCACTGTTTGTTACATTTATCTTTAAATTACAGGAATTTGAAGAGTTTGAAATTCATTGTGACAAGAAAATAATCCACTTAACAACCCTGAGATAAGTGTTCACTGAACTCCACAACCATTACATCCTATGCCTTGATTAAATTAACACTAAGTCAGTTACATTAATTTCCAAGCACACATCTTAAGAAGCATGGTTGAGAAACCACAAGTCCTGTCCAGACCAGCCGTTCCGGGAAGACAAGCATTCTCAGTATAGTTTAATGGAGCTGTAATACTGTTCCACAGATTTACACAATATTGTACGCCATAAGAAAGAGAATTTATGCATGTAAACTTCTTTTTTATGGGGAACAGATGATCTTTTCACCTGCTTTTCACCTGATGGAGGAGTAAGTATATACTCTAAAACGTTTTGTTCCTCATAATAAAGAAGTTGACATCCATAAATTCTCTTGGTTATGTGTATCATTTCTAAATGCTTTCAAAGAAGTGTACACCATGTTTTTTGGAACGATGTGAAATCAGTGATGCTGGAAGCACTCATAAAATCATCTCTCATGTAACTTGTTCTGAGTATCGCATGTCCTGGGGATACTAAACAAAACATGTACTTTTCAAAAAGAAAATTACTTTTTCACAATTTTGAAAAGACTCAAATTGTGACATTACGGAAAAATGAGTATTTACTTTTAGGATTATTAATTTGTTAAAATGAAGTGGCAGTTGCCTCAAAAAGCAGACACAAGCAGGAACTGTAAACAAAGTGCCCTATTTGGTAGAAAACATAGAAAATGTCCTATGAATCCTGGTCAGGCCTTGATTTCAAACTCTTCAAACATCACAAGTAAAGGTGTAAGGTTGTATCGCTACAAATTCAACACAATGTACATAAGACATCTAACTCTTATGAAACAACAAAAATATAGGCTTAATACTGAGCAACCCTTATATACAGTATAACACAAAAGTCATAATTTAACATATCTTCTCGTTTTGCCTTGTAGATGCTATACAGTTACCCTAAGTTGAGCAATTCATTTTTGAAACAACGTTCAAAAAAACATCTGAAAGTGTGAATATATCTTTTGGTGACTGAGGTGGCTACAAGCTGCTTCCGCAGCGTCGGTTAATACCGTCATTTTACAACACAGACAGCCGGCGATGGCAGCACACTTTATCTGTTTAGCCTCTTATGCACTTCAAGAGCATGATTTATCCATCCAGCCTCTTAACAGTCATTTATCTGTTTGCAAAAGCTGCCAAAAATACTTGAAACGCTGTAATGTCCTTTCAATACTTATTGCGTGACAGTTTTTAGCATGTCGGTCCCTGAATATGAAACGGCTAGGATCCATCGTTCATATAATACAGTGTTACAAGCAAGCCCAAATGCATACTGACGTTCCATCACAAGAGTTTCGCTCCCACCAACAAAGCTTGTCACATTGGCCTACTTTCTGCCATTTCTCTTCACAGCCTCATTTTGAAAATGGCTCCATAGTTTCCATGGCAACACTCCATGATAAATATCCATTTCGAATCTCAGCAGTTTTGCACCAATTTCATCCAATGAAAATATCTCTTGTTGGTCACATGATCTGGACGTTTGTCCAATCAGAATGTTCCGCCTCAAATCTCCTCCAATGAGACTTGAGCCTGCCCTCTGTTGTGATAATTTATATATACAAACAGCTATATTCAGTCCATATCACTGTGCTTGAAGTTCTCGTTATAATCTCAACCCTCGCGCACCCTCCTTTCGTCAGAGAGCCCCGTTCATATGGGAGTAGTCAGTACATTGTGTGGCACAGTTCGTGAAAGACTGAGACTTCTCAGACGAAAGCGATGGTGACTTGTTAAACGTTGTGAACTCTATCGTCCCCTCTGAAGAGAACAAAAAATAAATGTCAGTAAATGGACCATTGTAATGCCACAGTCAGCATTACTCTAGACCTAAATCAGCATTATTCTTGTCATATAATGGTATGCAAATATCAGCTAATCATTATTCAAGCCATACGATGCAGCGTTAGAAACTGGCACTAGTCCTATAGTCCTTGCCAAACTGCCCAATGGTAAGGGTATCATAAGGGCTAGTAGAAATTTGCCCTTTTTAAGGGTTTTGCTATATGTTATCATTATAAGGATTAGTGGCTGAAAACTGTTAGTTTCTAACCCTGCGATGTAATTATATCATGATACATGTACTCTAGCCTTACAGGTCAAGACACAGAGAATGTTGAGTGGAAATTGATGTTTGCGTTTGCTGTTTACTGTACACGCTAATATACCATCTGGCAAGATAGGACCCCTGACTTAATCAGGCTACAACAGTCATGAGAACTATACCTCTGTCACCATCACAGTTTGTGACTTAAACCACTAGCCTGCAGCCCCAGCCCAGTAAAATCTCTTTCGGTCTAGTAAGCTTTGAAAATATCCACACATAGCGTATAATCTATTTAAATGATGAAAAGATACCTAATAAAAATATTTTTGTCACAGCCTGCCACTATTATTATTATTACAGGTCCAAATAAACATACTAAAAAATTGGCACAAAACCCTACTCGTTTTGTTCAGTTTTAGGCAAACGTCATAGAATCATACAATATTCTATCACAGTGAGCTAGTTAATCGACTGTTCGTCTCACCATTGCTGCTCAAGTCTGTATTAGTAGCTTGATCCTTTGTTGTGTGTTCACGGCTGTGCGGCCTCTTTCGGCGGCGTTTATGCTTCCCATGATTCCCTGAAATGTGGTCGCTAGGCGACAGAGAGTCCATAGTATTTCTGGCACTGAATATATTGGGGGTTGTCCCACCATCAAAAGTCCGAAGCTGTCTATCATTTGGGAGGAAACAGTCAACTCCGCCGGGAACATGCATTCTGGGAGATTTTTGACTATTTGTCTCCGCACCAGACATGTCAGCTTCATTGGAGGAATGGCCATGACCTTGGGGTGGCACATGTTGTAAGGAACTTGACCTTTGACCCAGCCGGTACAACACAGCAGGGTCGTGAAGTTGTTTTTCTCCGTTTCTTGTGCCACCATTTTGGTCCAACAAAGGTTGATCTAAGTACAAAAAGTTGACTTTTAGTAGGGAGTTTTGAAATAGTTTGAGGAGAGCATGTTAAGATTTCATTTCATTTTCTATTTCACTTTACCTGAGATGGCAAGCCTCATGGTCAAAAGCCTTGTCTCCCTTACATATTAATTTTCGAAGCTTCCTTGGCCCTGTTTTACAAAGCGCTCTCATAGATGACAGTTGAAAGTCATGTTATGATCACCTTAGTATTAAGAAAGCATCACACTAACGTATTGTCAAGGTAACTAACCTGGGGAAATATCGTCAACGCTTTTCGCTGTGTTGATGCTGTTGAAGTTGTTGTCGCTGGTGCTGTGAGGGCCGCTGTAGTGAGGTATGGACCCGTTCGGCACAAGAGTGTGATTCTGTGAACATAACAAACAGTATTGTTTAAGTTCGAGTAGCTGCTGTACAGGGCACCTGGAGGGATCTGACAGACTGGGGCAAGGGAAGGAAGATGAATGGACAAATAAAAGTCTACACATGCCCTAGGTCCATTGAACCATTTCATATACTTTGTGATCAGTGAAGATCTGGGTTCAAATAGGTCTTAAGCAAACTATGCTTGCCCTAACAGCCAACTACCCTTGTCGTAAGAGGCGACTAACAGTGATTTGGTGGTCAGACTCTCTGACTTGGTTGATGCATGCCATCGTATCCCAATAGCGTAGATCGATGCTCGTGATGTAAATCACTGACTTGTCTGGTCCAAACTTGATTTTTTACAGACTGCCCGTCATATAGCTGGAATATTGCTGAGTGCAGCGTTAAAGAACAAAGAAACAAACAAAAACATATTCTTTGTTGTTGTTTTGTACTTACAGGAACGCTGCCTTTCCCAGCTTGGGAGTTAATCATCTGACATTCCACTTCAGACATTGGGTTCACGTTGATGTTCATCTTGTTGTTATGGTTACTGTTGCCATGGGGACCGTGTCCATTGGCAACCAGTCCGTTGAGGCCATTGAGTGGGTATCCATTCATGTATTTCTTCCTCATAGACTCGCTGTAGATTCTCTGGGCTTGATCCTGGTACTTGGAGTGGATCACCCCGTTCATGGCTGCAACAGAATAGAAGCCATTATGTATACACTATGTATACAATCTGAGTTGGCCCTTAATCCAAACCACAATATTGCCATTATGAATACAACCTTAGTAGGCCCTTAATCGACACTATAATGTTGCCATTATGTATACAGTATGCATACAATCTTTGTTGGCCCTTAATCCAAACTCGGTCTGGCCACTATGTATACAATCTTGTTGGCCTTCAATCCACCTACAATGTTGCCATTATGAATACAACCTTAGCATTGCTTAGTAGGCCCTTAATCAACACTATAATGATGTCATTATGTATACACTATGTATACCATCTGAGTTGTCCTTCAATCCACACAACAATGTTGCCACTATGTATACATCTGATGTCATCACTTACCCATCATGCGACGTTGTTGTCGTTGTTTCCACCAGCACATGACGATGAAGACGAACAACAGCAACAACATGACCCCGAGGACAATTCCCAGCACCATGTAGAGGGTCTCGCTGCTGGACTGGGTGCTTGTCTTCTCCGTGTCGATCCCGTCTCCCCTGTGTGTCGGATTGCGGGGCTCCTCGACACGGGGTTTGTCCGGGGACGGCATATTCCTTGTGTTGGCCTTGTCAGTTACTGGCTCGACCGGGAATGCTTTGGGAGGTTTGGTCAGAGCTGAAAATAGGTGCTGGGTGTGAGTTGGGAACACTTCTTAAATTGTACTTTTCAAACATCAACCTAAAGAATCAAAAGTCATTGTACAAAGAGGGCAAAGAAACAAGATCATTCTAGAAATCAAACAACAGTAATCATTAATATATTTCTAAGAATACTCCCTCTTTTAAATTAGGAGTAATCCCACCCACCTCCCCGATTATCTGCATCTACAGAGCTCATGTACAGGAGTGAGGTTTCCCACCAAGTCTTAGCAGCAAGATACTATTGCTTGCACAACTGACTGGATAGTTGACAGTGAAGAGAACTTTTGTTGCAAATCAGAAGATTTTTAAGTGTGAGGACACCCAAAATAACAGGATTTATGGCTATGATGTAATAGAGGCTTTGTATTTGCAGGCATTATGTGGTATAGCTATCCTCAATAAGAAGGTGGCATCCATAAAGCGCTGCTACCAATTCCAGTGTGAGCATTAAATATTCCTTGTTTTGAACATTTGAAAGTCAAAACTAAGGTAAAGTAATTTGAAAAGAATGTATAATTAAACATGCAACAAAATATGATGAAATAATATGTGATCTTCCTCAAAATTTTAAGTCTGGGGTTAACAGACATCTAAAATCTATCCTGGTTTTACTTCACCTCCTCAAGAACCACCAGTAACTACAACCTACCTAATGTTCTCTTCACAACAGTGTTGCTACTGTCACTGTTCCCAGCCGAGTTGAAACATAGCATACGAATACTGTACTCTGTGTCAGGCTTCAGATAGCCCAACACATGTCCACGAACTTTGGTTTCAAGGATTGTGATCTTTTTCCATTGGTCTTTTGAGTCGTATGGCTTGTAGAAGATGAAAAAGCCTTCGATTGGTGAGGATTCTGTTAGGATATACTGAAACAAAGCAAACAAAAAATTATATATTTACTATCAGACTGAGTGAGCAACTGAAAACTGTAGTTCAGTTATGTCTCAACATGTCAGCTCAGGATGAAGGTACTCCCAAAGTGATACAGCTCTGTTCTCGACATTTACGTCATTTGTGAAAACCATGAGCAGAACAAGTATTCTACCCAGGCACATCTGGGATTCCAATCCAGAGTCAGTGTATCCTTGTTTGAAAAAGGGAGATAACTCTGTACAGATGCCCCCCGTAGACACAAATCAGATTCAAGTCAGGTCAGTGTGTCCGTGCTTGATTAAGTGGGATCACTCCGTACAACCATGCCCCCACAGACACAAATCTACAACTGACTGACTGATATAGAAGATTTAACGTGCGCTTTCCGACTGCAGCGTATTTCGCAAATCTACAAATTGGTCTAAGGAGTTAAATAGAACAGAATTAAGCTACTGACTTGACCATGCATGGAGCACAAACGAACCAACAACCTTGCAGTTACTTTGAGAAGGTCCAACACATGATGTGTGAAGACATACTGCCTGCTGTTACAGTTGTATAAACCTCTGGCTAACGAGTGGTCAGACTAAGAACCCAGTCCCATTAATTACCTGTTTTCTTACCAATTAACACCTGCAGTGTACACACATGAGGGATTACTTAGATAAGAAGCAGCTTCGTCTGACGGGTAACATCAGCTTGTCAACACTATAACTGTTATGTACACATGGAGAGCAGGGCGTCAACATTGTCCTTCTAACAAGTGAGGATAGTCAGTGATATAATGCACTTTTGTTCTTGGACTTGCCTGAATTTAATTGCACTGTGTTGCTCAAACTTGAGCATGATGCTTAAAATAAACTTTCGGATGGACAATCTTATTGTGGGAAATAAACGATCACAATTAAATCATCTAAGGACTGACCCATAATGTGTTTGTTATCTGTTCGTCAGGCAATTTTGGAAAGAAATGTTATTTTGTTCAAAATTAAGATTTTTTAAAATTTCATATTTTCTTCAATTCTGAAGTAATTAAGCATTATATTTTGAGACTCATTCGGTGCCAGAAAATAAAACTTAGTATTAATAAATCTCTCTATTATTATTTGTTCTTAAAGGTACACACCTGCCACTTGATGCCAATGCCGAACACATCCTTCCCCTGTTCCTCATTGTGGAGTGGCATCGCTTCTACAATGGTGGGTCTGTCCACCGGGGGATGGGCTTTGCCAGCCGGAGCCACCTTCATGAAGAAACGGTGAGAGTTCTGGCCGACCTCGTTGTCATTATTAGAATACACAGCTGCGATACGAAATTTGTAAATTCCCCCTGGAAAACAAATACAATGTATCAGTTAAATTGGTATCGATAACACTGAGCACAGATCAAATCTAGATAGAACTGATTTTATTACTTATCTCATAATTGAAAAATATATCCTTATTCGAAGAGAAACATTGGTAAGTCAATTGCTGGACATTCATATTGTGACAATAGTAATCAGGAGATGACATAGCGTCCCAGTCTGGTGAAAATCGGAAATGGAACTTGGCTACTTATACCCAACTGTTGTTCAGGTCAGTGAAGTAAAAAATAATGCTGTTCAGTATTTCTCAAAATCCTAAATCATCAAAAGGCACCAGTTCACCACAAGACTGGTCTGTACAGCAAGTTTCAACACGATATATTCAACGAGTTAGGAGTTCTGCTCCAAAAACGTAAAATGGACATGCTGATAAATATATCACCCCCATTTTTCAAACGGGGGAATAAAAAAGTGACAGGTTTGTTTGTAGAATGCGTACCTGGTTTGAGATTGGACACTTCATACATGGTGGTGTCCTTGTCGATGTCGTGGTCGTCGGTGTGCCAGCTTGCCTTATTGGGGGCAACCTCCTTGTACTGCACCCGGAAGAACACGATCGGTAGGCCGTCATTCTGTGGCACTGTCCAGTTCAGTTTGACCGAGGTGTCAGACAGTTGGTCAACATGCGGCTGAGATGGGGGAACCAGTTTGGCTAAAAAGACAACATACAAAGTGAGTTGTGGTTCAGTCAACTTTTGTCTGTATAACACCACACTTTGTAATACTCCTGCTATATGACGGTGGCCTGTTGATGAGCGTTTGGACCAGTCAATCCAGTGATTGATATAATGAGTACCGTCCGACCCAATTGAAGCACAGTGACATGACCCGAGCTGCATAATAGCGTACTGAGACTGATTGTGCTCAAATTCAATCTGAACGTGCTCACCTGTTGGCGACAATGTAGCGGCTATAACATTTTTGAGACCCATGATAGGATTCAAACCAAGGGATTCAAATTCTGATCCGAGGTCAGACGCCTTGTCCACATGGCCAATCAGGGTAACCCCGAATAAAGAGGTCATGGGATGACTCCACGCACTGCTACACATGTCTGCTACATATGCCTTCTACACATTCCTGCTTCACGTGTCTGCTACAATTCAACATCTCGTAATGACATTCACCTTTGCCCTTCTTCCTCTTCTTCTTCTTTTTCTTCCTCTTTCTCTTATTTTTCTTTCCCTTCTTCCTGTTCTTACGGCCACCATTTTTATTTGGCCTGTTCCGTTTCGGGACTTTGATATCTCCGTTGACCTTCAAGTTCTCAGAAGTCGTCTCATTTGTCCCTGCCTGGTCACTTTCGGTCACGCCAATAGTTGTCTCATCTAAAAAATGAAGTAAATAATTTTAGCATTCACAAAGTTAAAAATTTATATTAAAGTTGCCCTGCTTTGAGGAAGAAGAAAACAACAGCAGGTTACCATTGATATGCCACAAACGCATTATCTTTTCAATGACAATGAACCCACACAACTGCAACAATCTGTGAGTCTCATGCAATTTATAATATGGTCTGAAGATGTCATACCTAACATATTTTGAACTTTTTACTTAAATGTTGAGAAGAATTTATTCAACACATCATTTTGGCCATTATTGAGTGAAAATGGATCTATGCCGCTTTTAGCAATAACAAGGCAGGGTACACCAGAAATGGGCTTCACCCATTGAAATCAAACCCTGGTCTTAGGTGTAACCACCAAGCTATTCCGCAGCCATTCACTTTGGCCAATAATGAACTGAAAATCTTACTTAAATTTGAAATGATAGAGGGAATGAGTTACCTCCCTTTAATTTGAAATGATATGAATCACAGCATACCAAACGGAGAACAAAGATCAAAGTTCATAAACATGCATTTTTGATCCATGACTTGAAAGAAAGCTATTCCTAAGGGGCAAATAATGGTGCTTTAAAGTCTAAAATTTTGGAGTTTTTCTTATTCAGCCATTCAGAGGATACTTGACTATCCACAGCAAACGACTAGTTCTCTTTCAGCCATCCAGAGAAAATCTGACTATCCACAGCAAACCTAGGTCTCTATTACAATGCAAGCTGACAACTCGTGGAAGAACAAACCCAACACATTTAAATAACAGTGTGCCGATGCAGTTCCATTCTCGTTCTTTGCGATACAGGAATACTTTCCGGAATCCTCGGCCCTTACACGGAACAGCTGCAGGGACCCGCTCGGTGCAATGTCAAGATGGCCGTGAGTTGGACTCAATCTCTGGCCATCCTTAAACCAGTGGAGTTGGTTGGCACGAGCACTCAGACAGGGAATAGCCACCGTCGTGTGTCGCTGCACCGTCATGTGAGTTGGCCATAGTGTGAAGTGGGGCAGGTGCGCGGCTATGGTGTGATTGAGCTGGGATTGGCTGAGATTTAAAGCTAAGTAAAACAGAAAACGTACAGCACAAATATAGCTGGAAGCAGAGACAACATACAGCTACTGGCTGACTGACTGAGAGTGAGCGAGTGACTGAGAGTGAGCGAGTGACTGAGTGTGAGCGAGTGAGTGAGTGAGAGTGAGCGAGTGAGTGAGTGAGAGTGAGCGAGTGACTGAGAGTGAGCGAGTGAGAGAGTGAGCGAGTGAGTGAGTGACTGACTGAGAGAGAGAGAGTGAGTGACTGAGAGTGAGCGAGTGATTGAGCGTGAGTGAGTGACTGACTGACTGACTGACAGAGTGAGTGAGCGAGTGACTGAGAGTGAGTGACTCACTGACTGAGATTGAGTGAGAGAATAGTTTATTACTAGGATGAATGCTGGTTCTAAAGCAGTCAATAGTTGTATGGTCATGTGAGTGAGTGAGCAGTTCTACATGTTGACCAACTAAGACAATGAGTGAGTGAATGAGTGAGTGGATTCATGGTAGAGCTCTACTCCATCGCAGTACTTGATATATATAAACTTCAAACTTCAAACATCAATCATATGCAGGAAGCATTGTGTTAGCACTACCCAAAGCGATATATAAACAATTAGGTCCCACAGACAAGTTATACAACAGCAAGAGAAATTACATGTGGGTTAGTTTCATTCAACAAATATGTGCTCAGCTAAATGATAAAAGTAACATACCTGTGTTACCTGTTGGGTCAAGACCTTGACCCTTGACCTCCAGTTTCATAACAGCGCTGGCTGAGGAAGCGTTGTTCAGGGCCTGGCACTGATAGAACCCAGCACGTGATGGCACCACCTTGGTGATCACAAGTACCATGGCTGCAAGAAAAGAGGCCAAGTTTTCATTTCTCTCATATCTACAGACAATCAAGATTTATATACAACATAAATAAATAAAGTTCGAGTGGTGGGTTATCCTAGTGGTTAAAGCGAAGACCTGAGTTCGTTCCCCACATGGGTACAATGTGTGAAGGCCATTTCTGGTGTCCCCCGCCATGATATTGCTCGAATATTGCTAAAACCATACAGTATACAGAAAAAGAGTTGGGGCGGTGGGGTAGCCTTATGGTTAAAGCCAAGACCTGAGTTCGTTCCCGACATGGGTATAATGTGTGAAGGCCATTTCTGGTGTCCCCCGCCATGATATTGCTAGAATATTGCTAAAACCATACTCTATTGACCAGTATTACCATTCTCACTTAATGTGTCTGTCACAACTGGGATACCATGACTGGAAACAGCCCATTCTGACAGCATATTGACCATCTAATACCCATCTCTCTACATGTGTCTGTCACAACTGGGATACCATGACTGGAAACAGTCCGTTCTCACAGCCATCTTGACCATCTAATACCCATCTCTCTACATGTGTCTGTCACAACTGGGATACCATGACTGGAAACAGTCCGTTCTCACAGCGATCTTTACCATCTAATACCCATCTCTCTACATGTGTCTGTCACAACTGGAATACCATGACTGGAAACAGTCCGTTCTCACAGCAATCTTTACCATCTAATACCCATCTCTCTACATGTGTCTGTCACAACTTGGATACCATGACTGGAAACAGCCCATTCTCACAGCCATCTTGACCATCTAATTCCTTGGCTTGTAGCAATCATGTGGGACAACATGAAGGTCAACTTCTCAAGTGAATCACCATGACAATGGCTTGCCTGGAAATAGGTGCCTACCTCCATTACTGATGCCTGTTGTTTTCGGGACTGGCTTTGCGTTGTAGTACCACATGACTTTGGGCTCGGGTCGACCAGTCACATTACAGCGTAGCTCCGCCCTCTCACCAGCGTTTACTGTTATCACCAACCTCTGTGCCTTTGCTGTCACAGATTCTGAAAGAAACAAAATAAAAAATGTTATCACATCAAACTTTTATCTAAATTCACAATTGACGGCAGACAGATGTGAGAAACGTATTTATACCAACCATAACAATTGTAATTTTCTCAGTCTGTTTAGGCAAAAATATTATTCTCGCTTGTACAGGTCAATAACGAACTCAAAAGGACCACTAATTTTAGTTTGTTATAACTGTAGTTCAGTATAAGTGTATATACAGCATAAATACAGCAAATAGCTGAGACAAAAAACAAAAAACACTTCCTAATATCTGTCAGATTGTTATAAGCGTGTTCATTATAAACATACTTGCTGTAATAATGGTTTAGATTGAACGGGCTTCAACATCAGTTTGTTAACATTTTGTTGAAATATTTATCATAATAATTAGAAATTAACCATGAAAATCTGTAAAATCTGTCTTCATTGGTCTGTCTGGAATGTGAGTTGCAATTTCATGAGTGTTCTTGAATATTGAAGAAAGAAATAACGACTACCTAATACAAACAAACTTCTTACCTTGTACATCCATTGCAATTATTCTGCTTGGCTCTTCTGAAGTTCCTTTACAAATATATGTTCCTGCATCTTCTATCTTTACATCCTTAATTCTTAAATTACCTGAAAAATAAAGAAGCCCACCTAGGATGAGAACCCACTTTGAGGCCCTTGATCTTCAATCATCAGTCTATCAGGGATACTACAAGTTATCTCCCCTTGCTCACAAAATGTATTCTTGCCTTCATACCAGTTCATGCAAATCAGTATCAATCAACTCAAAATAGTGACTGAATACCATTGAAAATAAAATACATTTGAATTTACTTATATATTTAAATAACTTAAGTTAAGTCAATGAAATCATTATTTTTATATTTTAAACTGTGTGTTTGGGGGATTAGAATAGGTTCCTGGCAACTTATGCTGGTCATAAGACATAGGTGACCAAGTGGTCAGACTTGCTGACTCAGTGGACTTGGTGGACGTGTTATCGTAGTCCAGTGATGTGGATTGTTGTTCATAATATCAATCACTGGATGGATTATATCGTCCAGACTTATTGACAGGATGACGTCACATGCCAGGAATATTGCTGAGTGCGGCTTTAAACAACAAATAAACACAATTTTAACATTTGAAAATATTACCATTTTCCACTACAGTACGGTCCTGTGGCAGAGTGCCTCCATATTTATCCCATGTTACACTTGGGGTTCCAGTTGAGGAGGTAGGACATTCCAGCAGAACGCTTTCACCGATCCAGGGGAAGATCTTCACTCTACTGGTGTCCACTATCGAGGTTTCAGATCCAGCTGCTGAAAATGACAACATGAAAATTTAAGCAGGCTTCCTACATACCGTCAAATATAATCCTATACATAAACATCATCATACTAATGCTATCTCAACTATAACCTCCATTCTTCTATCTAATTCATTGTTAATCATTTAGAAGACACGATTATGTTTATCCCAAGGTGTCTGCTGGCCTGACATAAGCGTTGACCCGAAAAATAAAAAATAAAAAATAAAAAGTTAGAAAAAGAAAGTATTAAGGAAAGTATTCAACATTTATTGAAAAAGCAATTTCTGAGTTTATCTTATAATAATAATATAGTTCCAAAACACATGGACATAGCTTGAACCATCCTTGATCCTCCAGGGTCATATATTTCCATTACATTCCCTGGACACACTCACTACCACAGCTTTAAGTTTAGGCTAAATTCTAATGGCTGTCCGACTAAATTACACTCATGATCGAGATTTTAGATATAAGAGAGATGGTGATTGTGACATGACTTTCTCAGCAAAGCTTTGGTGGGGACTGGACCCAAGGGCGCGGGCGGGTAGCCTGGTGGTTAAAGCGTTTGCTCATCATGCCAAAGAACTTGGTTCGATTCCCGACATGGGTACAACGTGTGAAGCCAATTTCTGGTGTCCCCCGCCATGATATTGTTGGAATATTGCTAAAAGCGGCTATAACCTCACTCCCTCACTCACTCACCCACTCACTCACTGGACCCAAGGGTTTATCGTAGGAGCATGGAGATGCAGAACATTGGATGACAGAGGAGGAGAGGAAGAGAATTTAGGGATGTCAACTTCTTTATTATGAGGAACATAACTTTTGGAGTATATTCGTACTCCATCATGTGCATTTATTCACCTGATGAAGGAGTAAGTGTTTACTCTGAAACATTGTGTTCCTCATAATAAAGAAGTTGACATACACAAATTCTCTTCCTTTTGTGTATCACTTCTAAATGCCATTCAAAAACTTACTAGAGGAGGAGCTGGAATATACATCTTCACAACTTTCAAGGTACATTGAATCTCACACTCTGAATCTTATGATCTTAACACTGAACACTGAAACATTTCCTTAAAATCAAAATTCATACAGATGTCTTGCCAGTGTCAATGTGGAGAATATCCACGTCTTTTCTTTAACCTCAAAACATTTTGACAAAAACTTTTCAAATGAAGTGCTTTCAGTGGCGCTAACATAGAAGTAGTTGTCCTCCATGAAAGGAATAGTATCTGGGGTCACCTGGGTCAGTCTCAAAGAGAAAATGAAATAACATTGCCACACCACTGGCAGTAGTTTTTCATGCACAATACACACAGGCAGGCTGGACGAACGATGAATTCTACATCGGCGCTCGGTGTTAGAATAGTGAATTGTGTGAGGAAATGTTTCCCCACTGTCATTCTGATCAGCAACAATCCTTATACAGAGAATATTCCTCTATCATTGAGTCTATTCCCACCATTTCTATAAATCAACCACAAAAAATAGGACTACCCTAACAACTTCTTACAATTTGAGAATGTCCTGATCCTATGCCCTGACAAAGGTGGGTCACCTCCAAGCCACCTTATCTCGATGAACGTGAATATAGCATTTTACGTGGGATCGCGCTGATTGTTCCGATATTGCAGTGGGTATTGATGGAATTGCAACCGAAGCGACATTTCTCCTATTCATCCACAGCTGAATGTTTGTGTGAATGTAGGACTATGAAGCTCCAACGTGTTACGAAGGAAGTTACTTCTTTTTTGTGTGCCGCCCCGTAGCTGGGGTTGTATGTCAGTGAAGTCGTTATAGCATGTACCCGGGAACACACCAGATCATACACTCCTGATGCGTCTAATGACTTTTCCACGACTTTACACAATCTGATTTTAACGTCTTAGTTATATATTATTACTTTCTGTTGAGTAAATGCAATTGAGTCCAAGATACAATGAGAGAGAGAAAGAAAGTTACTCTAATATCAGCAAGTGTGGACAAATTTAAGTTTTCCTTTCCACCAAATGCAAAATAGTATAAATCATGTTCACTTCTGTTTTTGTGATAATAAACTTCATATATCATTTTTCAGACACTTCTTAGGTTTATCAATTATGAACCCATCTGAAGAATGTAAAATATCCCTTGCAACAACAAAGGCCTTTTTAGAAACTAAATCAAAATCTTTCAGGAACACTGTAGGGAGTCAGAATAATGACGCATATCCACTTTTTAGTCTCAGGAAAAAGGCCATATTTTGAACACGTTGACCTAAGAACTGTCAAATTAAAATCAGAAGATAAATTTAAGTGAAAAATGACACTGAAATCTTGCACCCGTAACAACACCCTTAACTCCCACAATCCCTTGCAGCGTGTCAGATCCACTACTGTTGTGAGATGCACATTTCCTCCTCATGATCGGGCATCATACTCGGAACTACAAAAACGTGTCTCCACCTTTCTTATTAGATAAATTTGCCACCAAGAACAGCCATGAAGCTTACTAATTTACAGAGAAAAAAGATAAAAGCTGAATAGCTGTGGACGTTAATGACAGAGTGGAAGCAAAGATACGCATTCCAATATTCGACTGCGGGACTCCTATTTTCTGCAAAGTTTGGATTAACAATAGACAGGCCAGTAAATCCTGTCGCTACACATCTTCGTAACCACCAATTACCAACAAGGCTCTGCCAACATCTCAACAAAGCTAACACCCTTTTCAAATTGTTGGTTTAACATTTCAGTCAAATGATGGTCAAACTGTCAAATTGAGCCTTTGTGTCAAACTTTTTTTCTAATTGTAGGTTTATATTATTTGTTGAAGATAACTCTAGTTCCAAACTTTTCCATCTCATATCCTACCAAAATGTCGAAATTATTAAAATGTTAAATGTTAAAACCAGCAGACTGAAGCAGATTTTGGTAAAAGAGCCATTGTGTCAACTGAATACCCCCTCCCTCCCTCATTATCCAATAGTGTTGATCATTGCTCAAACTTTCAACCACGTCATTGTACGATGTTTAGATAATTTGCTTAAACTATAAACCACATCATTGTACAATGTTTGGATCATCGCTCAAACTATAAACCACCAACATTTGCTTGGCAACCCCATTATATATCATCATCAGCTGTAATATTGCTGTTGTATAAAACATTTCCTTTCAACTATAATTGTCACAATTGTGTAGTTACTTGCAAAAATGTGTCAAGATTGGAAAGTACAATTGTTACAACTAATTCTGCTCAACATGAGATTCAAAATTGCTTTTCAAGAAGTAGTTGTTCATATTCTAGAAACACAAAACACTGCCAAGCACATGGACTATTTCAGTTGCCTCTACATCTGGCTGTCCAGTAAATCATTCTAACAATGGATTGACAATGGTAAAAATTGTGCGTTAAACCCGATGTCTAATTTTGTCTCAGATTTCGTACTTTACAGCAGCGTAAATAAGTCCATCAAAAGCCTGTCTCGTGCAGGGCTCTAATCAAACCATGGCCACTTAAACTTGCAAACCTGGGCGGATTTGCTAAACATAACTGACCTTGAGCGAAACAATGCACATAGCCCTATAAACACACCCAGACAAATGAAAAGGCCGCCTTTAATAATACTCCACACCAAAGACAATCTGGACCTGAACTGCCAATCTGCGTGAGGCCCATCCCCAAGTTTCATGACATATATTCCACAATGAAGTCAAATTGAATGGAAAGCAAAAAGAAACTGAAGATTAACATGGTTCATTAATTCAAAAATAGAATTGACAAAGTGATGCCTTTTGTCTTTAAAGTTCAATACAAAAGGCACAATTGGACCATTTTAAGATAAGAAATGCTTAAATCAGTCGAAATATTTCAGAATTTCTTGATTTCCTTAAAAGGGTGTAAAAGAAGTATAATTTGCAAAGCAATCTTGAAAGCTCCCCTCTCCTGCTCCTATGATAATTCGACCTTGTTGTGTGAAAGACCAGTCATGCACAGCCAACTTTCTAGTGCGAGGAGCCAGCTCTGAGGGCTATCTGTTTGTATCACCAGAGCGTGAGACACACCAGCCTATTGGGTTGCCAGCAAGACACATGTCAATCAAACTGCTATATACAACACTTCTATCAATCAGAGTAAAGCAGTAATGTGTTCATTTCCTAGAAAGGTGTTTGAAAACATGGCGTTTGACATTGCCAAGTTTGCAGACAGGTTCACACCTTATTCTGTACTGAGGGAGGATATATAGTGTTGGATTGATGGATAAAAAGAGGGATAGAGGTGGATTGATGGAAGAAAGGATGGATAGAGAGGATAAGATGGAAGGATAGATGATAGAGAGAAGGATGGTGTTGGATTGAAGAAAGGAAAGATGCATGAATGACAGATAGAGTTGGATTGATAGATGGATAGAAGGAAGTTTGAATGGGTAGATTGATGATATTACAAATTTAAGGGAAAATGAATTATAGCTTGGAGGATGGAAGGATAGTTTACCTCGAAATATCAGAAAGATTAAAAAATATGCATTTTTAATTCCAATAACCACTTCACCAATTTCAGCAATTTTGTATGTGTACACGTGACAATGTTGAACTATCCACTGTTCGTGTTGTGGCCTGGGGTCCCTGTTGTCTACTGCTGAAGCTACTGAATCTATGTCTGCCTGCACAGCAACACTGAACACAATGACAAGGACCCCTTGACTTGTAACCCTCCATCTATGGACAACCCACAATCCAGCAACCCATGCTTGCCATAAAAGGTGACTATGCTTGTCGTAAAAGGGGACTAACGGGATTGGGTGGTCAGGCTCGCCCACTTGACCAATGCATGTCATCGTATCTCAATTGCATGGGTCGATGCTCATGATGTCAATCACTAGATTGTCTGGTCCAGACTCGATTATTTACAGACTGCTGTCACAGAGCTGGAATATTGCCAAGCTCTGAACAACATACAAACACTCACTCCTTCACTCACTCATCAGAGAGCAAAAACATTCACCTTGTGCCTGCACAGTGAGATCGATGTCTTGTAACGCTGTGACGTGCTTGCTCATCTTGCACTGGTACCTGCCACTGTGAGACTGCTGCACATTCTTTATCAACACACTCCCTGATGGTAGCACTGTAAACACATCTGCAACAAAAACAGCAAATGATCATCCAAGAGTTGTGTGTCAGGATCCTCATCCCAACACTGAACAAGTGTTTACTGACCAAATTTGAACACAATCTGAACAAATAATGTGGGGATAAAAAACAACAATTTTGAAAAAAACTTATAATAAATCATATATAAATCATAATAATCAGGGTATTTCCAGAAACACGTTGCCATGGTTTTTGCCCACTCCCTCAGCTGAAAATGTGCCATTTGCTTAGAATTTATGGTATTCTTACAGATCCCTGCCGATTTGTCCAGGATTGTACAAATTCCTCCTTCTCTATGATTTATAGAGGCATCATGCCCAGGATCGGATCTATTAGTTATAACACACACAGCTCCATCTGCTTCTGTCACTCAGTTGCCAACATCCGCTTGTAAGGGGAGGCAACTCTCCACACTCAGTTGACATCAGCTGGTGAGAGCACTCTCTAACTAAAGGAGGCGGAAACTTTTGGCCAAGGTATACTGGCAACGTGCAGACAGAAGTTGTCTGTGGAGATGGGAGTGAAGTCGTCAGCCCAAATTGTCTTGATTATGAAACATTACCATGAACTGATGATGGAGGATGGTGTGCAAGCGCACGTAATTACAACGCGTAAATCATTATGACGATGCAAGAGGTTCTCATTAGCACTCGCACTGGAAATGTCTGTCACATAAGTAATGACCAACATCTGACGAGACACATATTCACAAACCAAACTAAACCCATCCAATAGAGTTCCAATTTTTCCAATCTCTGTTCTGATTTGCCAAACTTCCCTCTTTCACATGAAACCCAGAGAGGATTGGATGAATGTAGGGCTAAACCATCCTTATCGCTGTATAAGTTCAAATTTCCCAAGCCAAAGTCTCCCAACTAGAAGAATGATACCATGTGACATATATGCTCTGGAAGTCTTTCAGTAGTGTTTGATGATGATCCTACTTGCATCTCCGTCAATTGAAAAGGTACAGTCTGAACAGAAGGGGAGTGACACCTTCATGAAGACCTACACTCAGAAAACAAAGTAAACCTGTCATGATCACACCAGATTTACAAAAATACATCTCAACAACTTAAATACTAAAACTATCATTTCCAAATAGCCCTCGAAATCTGTGGTGGACCAGCTGCTTTTTCAACACCAAACACCACCCATTTATGACAACCCTCCACACAGACCAGGACATGAAAACTGCTTATTACTGTCACCCCAACAACCACCAAACACCCACCCATTTATGACAACCCTCCACACAGCCCATGACATGACAACTGCTTATCACTGTCACCCCAACAACCACCAAACACCCACCCATTTATGAGGACATGACAACTGCTTGTCACTGTCACCCCAACAAACACCCACCCATTTATGACAACACTCCACACAGACCAGGACATGAAAACTGCTTATTACTGTCACCCCAACAACCACCAAACACCCACCCATTTATGACAACCCTCCACACAGCCCAGGACATGACAACTGCTTATCACTGTCACCCCAACAACCACCAAACACCCACCCATTTATGACAACACTCCACACAGACCAGGACATGAAAACTGCTTATTACTGTCACCCCAACAACCACCAAACACCCACCCATTTATGACAACCCTCAACACAGCCCAGGACATGACAACTGCTTATCACTGTCACCCCAACAACCACCAAACACCCATCCATTTATGACAACCCTCCACACGGCCCATGACATGACAACTGCTTATCACTGTCACCCCAACAAACACCCACCCATTTATGACAACCCTCCACACAGCCAAGGACATGACAACTGCTTATCACTGTCACCCCAACAACCACCAAACACCCATCCATTTATGACAACCCTCCACACGGCCCATGACATGACAACTGCTTATCACTGTCACCCCAACAACCACCAAACACCCACCCATTTATGACAACCCTCCACACAGACCAGGACATGACAACTGCTTATCACTGTCACCCCAACAACCACCAAACACCCACCCATTTATGACAACCCTCCACACAGACCAGGACATGACAACTGCTTATCACTGTCACCCCAACAACCACCAAACATCCACCCATTACTCTATCTTCTCTTGTTTCCTGGACAGAGCCCCCAGTCAGCCCACACCAAGTCACCATTCCTCATCCAACTGACTTCTATTCAAAAGATGTTTTTCACAAGATCAAGAATCCATTTGAGAACATAAGTCTGACACCCAACATCCACCCCATTCGAGCGTGACCGACACTGTATAAAAGACCCTGATAAGCTCAGCGATATCTACCTCCATTATAACTCTTCCAAGAATTTTTCAAGATAGGGGGCTGTGTATTAAGGGAGATAAATGGATTGTCTCCCATTAAAGAACTCTCCTGCCAGGAGACAAAGACACAGTATGTTTCAGCATCTGTTGAGAAGCACTCACTGATGAAAGACGTGGGCATCCCTATGATGGATGGTGCTCTCGCCACCAACTAGAAATACTGTACGTTTCCCCACTCCCAACCCTCCTGGCAACAGGCTCCACTTGATAAAAGCTCCATTTATCAATTGTCAACTTCTCCCCATGGCTCCAAGTCAAACTCCAAAGGTAGTCTGGCAAGGGTTGGAATTTAGATGAGATATTTTGGCTGATTCTGACAAACCCGCCTCCAAGAGAGATGAGAAAAATTAGAAGCTGACAAAAAACAGGAGTCGGAGTAACATATTCAATTTTTCAAAAATACAAATTTCGGATCTCCCAGTGTTTTTAATAAAGCAGTTTCTCTGCTGCCAAAAGATGTCTGTGGGCTTCAATGTGAAAGATCTCTTTCATGAGTGGAAAAACACGGCCTATGCCACTGCACTATATCTGAGTGATGTCATGTGTGTTCTTGGTACTCTCTATATTATTGCTCCAAGATTCCAAAGAAAACTGCCCTCAATCGGCAATTCACTTAGTGGACTTCAGTCAAAAACAATACCAACTTCACACTTATATAGATGCCAGTATTAGGTTTCAGTATCAAATCTACTGTGAAACTTATTTTTCTTCTTTTGATACGGCCCACATTAAGATTCAGATTGAATTCATCAATCAACTAGTTTTATCTAATTGAGTGAGTTGTGTTTAACTCAGCTTTTAACAGTATTCAAGTTATATCACGGCATGTCAGCTTCATGTGGGAGGACAGCCCGAAGCGATGCAGGTATAAGATGTTTACTATCTTGGTAAAACCCATGAACATGGGTATGGTGCTGACAAACCTAGAAACATAATTGAGACGAATCAGGATTCAAATTTTTCATCTAAGATACTGTATGTTACATTCACCTGATAAAGTGGCAAGAGGTAGCTCTTAAACGCTGTTTACAAAGAATGAAGAAGCTGTTATCCATAAATAAGTGTCAAGTTTTCATGTACAGAACAGTTTTAAAGTAGTAAACAGTAGTGTGTTTTCACATATCTAAGGCCAGATATATACACAATACAGGAAACTGTTTGGGTAGATAGCTATCTAATAAAAACAAAGTAACAAGATATATTGGTGAAAGGCCGGGATACTTAATATTTAATTACAACAGCATTTTTGAATGCCCTACAATTGAAAAGTATGATTTTACAGATGGCTGAATGCATAGGGATGTTTTTATTGAAAGATCAACCAGGTCTTTAAGAGACTATCTGACAGTTATGAGATCTTCTAAGAGGCAAAATAAACAGACGAGATGGTCTCCCTATCAAACAACATAAAATTCTTATCCCCATATTTAACTCCTACTACAAATTACTGACAAGCATAAGAGGCTGTTTACACTTGCGGAACCACAGGAAGTTGTCCCTGGCCAATCAGAATGCCCCATTCTTCTGAAGCTGATCAAAAAGTCAGATGGGACTGGCTACAAAATCTGAATTGGTTGATTAAAAAGTGGGAATGGAAACTCCATCCTTTAGGACTGTCATCAACAATCTGAGTGGCCATTCATTCTGCTGGAGATTCTGTAGGAATTCTGCCCTGGTTTCCATGGTAACTGACATGACATAATTTGTTTTGATTTGTGATACTGGTGTTTGTCTTTGGTATGGCAGCTTGTCTGGGCAATTGGCAGACTGGGCAATTGCCCCCCCCCCCCCCCCCCCCCCATTTTCTCCCCCCACCCTCCCCTGGATCTTCCCAGTCCTTCCAAGCTGGCAGAGAGATTTTCTTCTTCTTCCCTCATCATCTCAGCCTGGCTACCAAGTCAGCAGAGAAGACAACATTTTTTGTCTACCCTCTTCAGTTTCTTATAGGCAAGTTTACATTTCTTTGAAATCTCTTCATTTTGCTCCAAGGACAGTTCTTTCATAATCTCTTCAACTCATTATAAGGACATTTCTTTCATAATCTCTACATCTCATTCTAAGGACAGTTCCTTCATAATCTCTTCATCTCATTCTAGGGATATTTCTTTCATAATCTCTGCATCTCATTCTAAGGACAGTTCTTTCATAATCTTTTCATCTCATTCTAGGGACATTTCTTTCATAATCTCTTCATCTCATTCTAGGGACATTTCTTTCATAATCTCTTCATCTCATTCTAAGGACATTTCTTTCATAATCTCTTCATCTCATTCTAAGGACAGTTATTTTTTGTATCATCCCACAAATGTATTTCACGAGAAACACAATGCTAATTAGTTTGATTGTTTGTTGTTTAACGCCGAACTCGGCAATATTTCATCTATGTGACGATGGTCAGTAAATAACTGAATCTGGACCAGACAATCCAGTGATTGACATCATGAGCATCGATCTACACAACTGGGATAGGATGACATGCATCAACCAAGTCAGCGAGCATAACCACCCGATCCCGTTAGTCGCCTCTTACAACAAACATGGGTTGCTGAAGACCAGTTCTAACCAGGATCTTCACGGGTTGATCAACAATAATAAAGAGTGATATGATAATCTTTAAGATATGCACTGTAGCCATTTATGTCTAAATTAGATGGTT